TGTGTGGTGTGTGTTAGAGGTGTGTGTGGTGTGTGTGTGTGTTAGAGTGTGTGTGTGTGGCGTGTGTGTTAGAGTGTGTGTGTGGTGTGTGTTAGAGTTGTGTGTGTGCGTGTGTGTTAGAGTGTGTGTGTGCGTGTGTGTTAGAGTGTGTGTGTGGTGTGTGTAGAGTGGTGTGTGGTGCGTGGTGTGTTTAGAGTGTGTGTGTGCGTGTGTGTGAGTGTGGTGTGCGTGTGTGTTAGAGTTGTGTTGCGTGTGTGTGATGTTTGAGCGTGTGTGTTTAGAGTGTGGTGTGTGCGTGTTGTAGAGTGTGTGTTGCGTGTGTTAGTTTGGTGTGTGTAGTGTGTGTGTGCGTGTTGTGTGGCGTGTGTGTGGCGTGTGTGTTAGTGTGTGTGCGCGTGTGTGTTAGAGTGTGTGTGTCGTGTGTAGAGTTTTCGTGTGTGTAGAGTGTGTGTGTGCGTGTGTTTAGAGAGTGTGTGTGCGTGTGTGTTAGAGAGTGGTGTGTGCGTGTGTGTTAGAAGATGTGTGTGGTGCGGTGTGTGTTGAGAGTGTGTGCGTGTGTGTTAGAGAGGGAGTGTGCTGTGTGTTAGAGATGTGTGAGTGGCGTGTGTGTTAGAGAGTGTGAGTGTGCGTGTGTGTTAGAGAGTGTTGATGATGTCGTGGTGTGTGTTAGAGAGTGTGAGTGTGCGTGTGTGTGTATAGAGAGTGTGAGTGTGCGTGTGTGTTAGAGTGTGAGTGTGTAGTGGATGCGTGTGTGTTAGAGAGTGTGAGTGTGCGTGTGTGGTTGAGTGTGCGTAGTGGTGGATGTCGTGTGTGTTAGAGAGGTGTGAGTGTGAGTGTCGTGTGTTAAGAGAGTGTGTGAGTGTGAGGTGTGTGTAGAGAGTGTGAGTGGTGCGTGGTGAGGTGTGTCGTGGTGTTAGAGAGTGTGAGTGTGGTTTGTGTGTTAGAGAGTGTGAGTGGCGTGTGTTTAGAGAGTGTGAGGTGGCGTGTGTGTTAGAGAGTGGTGGTGTGCGTGTGTGTTAGAGAGTGTGAGTGTGAGTGTGTGTGTGTAGAGAGTGTGAGTGTGAGTGTGCGTGTGTTAGGAGTGTGGAGTTGAGTGTGCGGTGTTGAGTTAAGTGGAGTGTGGAGTGTTGCGTGTGTGTTAGAGAGTGTGAGTGTGAGTGTGCGTGTGTGTGTTAGGAGTGTGATGTGTGAGTGTGCGTGTGTGTTGAGAGTGGTGTGTGGAGTGTGCGTGTGTGTTAGAGAGTGTGAGTGTGAGTGTGCGTGTTAGTGTAGAAGTGTGAGTGGAGTGTGCGTGTGTGTTAGAGAGTGTGTGATAGTAGGAAGTGAGGCTGTGCGGTGTGTTAGAGCAGTGTGATGTGAGTGGT